GAGCTAGGAACAAGAAGTAGAAGCTTCTGTTTAAATTATCCGGATTGAGCTATTCTTACAACTTCTAAACTTGGAAGAAGTTTGCAAGCAGGTCAATTATTGTCATTGGAAATTATTTATCTCCCAAGGCATTTCAAATGTGATCTAATAGATTTTGTGGAAGTATTGTGTTTGTTAACCCTTAATTTCCAACCTTCTACTGTCTCTAGGATCACACCAAACCATCCGTGTACTTCAACATCTATGCATCTTCTCTGTAGTTTTTCGTCTACCTCAAAATCTGTTTTTTTTTCTATTCATCATCCCATATTGTGTCCAGTAGATCCGCTGTTAGATCAGATGATAAAACAGACTCCAGACTAATCATTACTTTCCCACACTTTCCTGTGTAGGTGTAATGTTGCCTTCTTAGATGTAGACTGTTCATAATTACACTAAGTCATTACTACATGACAAGTTAAACTATAAGTACAAGAAAGTTTTTTACTAGCGTTACTAAAGGCTGATGAATAATCAAATCTGATCACTAACCAGCTAATGGAGCACTGTAACTCATTGCTCTATATGTAACTGAGGTAAATCCTTAAATCAAAATACAGTTTTGTAAACTACAAAAAAGTACAAAGTATTGAGAAATTATTTAAATATCTGTAAAGTAAGTGAATCTATATCGTTTCCAACCCTGACACTATGCAACACTAGGGGTTGCACACTAACCTAGGGGAAGAACTGTACAAAAAATATTTATAAATCAAAAAGAAGGAGTATCATATGATAAAAAATGGAATAAATGATGACATAAAAGTCCAGATGGGTTTATAGTCTCAAAAAACTAAAAAGAGAAAAAATATTTATAAGACAGAGGAGAAAGGAAGGAAGATTAACAGAAGGACTAAGATTTAATTTAATCGTGAACTGTTTTTAAAATTTTGACTACTATGGAAACTACGAAATACGGTAAATGTTATATATACAAGCGCTGCCAAGTCCTGTTATAGATTTTGTTTTATTGTTTCTTTATTTTTTATAAGCTAGTACATACACAAATCTTGCCTCCTCTTTAAAAACATTAACCATTTTGATATTAAGAAACTTCAATTTTAAACCATTAAGAAACAGATTCATTCTCATACTCTGTGGCACCCCCAATTGTGACACCGATAGCTTTTCCTCCCTCTGTCCCTCCATTTGTAACTAGCTCCACCAAAAAGTGTGCTCTCATGCTTGTGTGTTTTTAAATGTCATGATTAAACAAAGACTTTTGTTTTCAATCAAAAAAACTTTGATTACAAAATAAAGCTGTTCAGAGCAGAACCTGAATTCTGTTACATTATATTTTTTATTTTAAAAGGAGCTGATTTTACATATATAAATCATCTTATCCTTCTAGATCCAATATTTCTCTTCTTTAAGACTGTGTCCCCATAAGCTGATCTCCAGATTAAAACTATTTTCAGGTGTAAAAAACACTATCCAGATTGTAAAATAATTAAAAAAATCTTAAGTCAGCCTTTAACATTAAATTACGTTTTTAAAATTCCTGTACTATACAGTGTTGTGTTTTCGTTTTAAGTTTTTGCTAATTTATTCAAGACCATGTAGGGGAACATTAATCTCACAAGAGAATCTGTGCCCTGCACCAGATTTTCCCCCTGGCTAATTTCCATCTGTTGTCCCTGAGGCAAGTAAAACTCAAGATGTTTTTAACATACAGATACAACATCGATGCAGATATAAACCACCATACTCCCTTACTTAATTGACAAGTACAAGACAAAGCTAATTACACATAGCTTTTCATCTTATTTCAGTTTTCCAAGTCAACCTATCTTGATGAAATAATAATCTAATCATTCCTAGTAAGATATTCAGTCTTTAATGTAAGCAACTAATTTAGAAATAAATCTATGATGAAAGAGAGATTTTCACATTTTTTATCTATTTAGGTCATGTTACATATGGGTATGATATTAGATATATAAGCTTAGCAGTATTTTAAAAGATGAAAAACTTATAAGGTTCCACCACAATGCACATAAGCTCATATCCCCTAAAAGTTTTATTTACATACAATAAAGTGAAAAAATCAATAACTTACAATAAACAGACTAACATCTGCTCTTCATTGTTGACCACACTGAGTATATCAAGAGAAGATTCAGAAAACCTGATAATCAGCCAGACATGATGTGGTGCTTAAAAGGTTGATTTAGTTTGTGATGATAGACTGAACTGGAGTTGTAGGCCAAAACATTGGTAGCAGACTTAAGAAGGTAGATGACTGCTGAACAGGCAGGCAGATGGCAGGCTGATGGCAGGCTTTGAGAAGGTGGATGACGACAGAGCAGGCTGATGACAGGCTTTGAGCAGGCGGTTGACAGGCTGATGGCAGGCTGATTGCAGGCTTTGAGCAGGTGGATGGCAGGCTGATTGCAGGCTTTGACCAGGCGGATGACAGGCTGATGACAGGCTTTGAGCAGGCGGTTGATAGGCTGATGGCAGGCTGATTGCAGGCTTTGAGCAGGTGGATGGCAGGCTCATTAGAGGCTTTGAGCAGGCGGGGGACAGGTTGATGGCAGGTTTGAGCAGGCGGATAATGACTGAACAGGCTGAAGAAAGGCTTTAAGCATATAGATGACAACTGAACAAGCTAATGGCAGGCTTTGAGGGGATGGATAATGACTGAACAGTGATGACTGGCTGAACAGGGTAATGGCAAGCCCGAGAAGGCAGATGAAGGCTAGTGCAGGTTAAACAGACTGGCAACTAGCAGAGGCAGCCCAGGCCGTGACCAAAACAAGCATGAGGGTGATTAGGTGTGTCTGCTCAATCTATTTCATAAAGTGGAGTAGAGCAGAATGTGGCAAACAGACAGCCAGCCCAAAAATAACCAGAGAGAGGCTGAGTACTAATGCGTATTAATTTGCATTTATTTGAGCCATGTTGTGAGTTTTTGCAAATACAAGCCAAACATCTAAATATTCAATCTGATTACTAAAGCTCAGCCGTATACATGAGACTATAAAATGATTACCCTGTCGAGATTGCCTATACTATGAAATCTCCAATATAAAAGGATCTTACTGGTTTTAAAGTCGTCTGAGTAGAATACAGTTTAATTACATTAAATAATTTACCTTGTCCGTTCCTCGAGTAATACTCTCAAAATCCTATTTAAAGTATTTACATAGCCATTGGACTACAAATATAGAACCTGCACACACCGCATATTGGCTGGATGCCTGAATAGATAGATGAATTTAGAAAACCCTATTTGTCATACTTTCTTTCATAAACAATACCTAAATATGTCTAGTGAGGCATGATTAGGCCATACACACATTTTGATGCTTTTTGTTGAAATTTGCAAGCAAATAACGCAACAAACACTTTTGGTAAGAGTAACACATTGCCCTGCTCTCAGCTTTTCCTCTGTGGAAAGGCTGACAAAGACCAGGCTAATTAGCAGATTGGGAGCAGGTGTGAACAGAAGCAAGAAGGAGCTAGGGAAAAGGAGACTGACAGAAGAGGGCAAACAGGAAATATCTAAGAACTCAAATACAATCAAAAATACCTCGAACACAAGAATGAAAAATAAGACCAATGAAAACTCAGAAATAACACTTGAACTTCTGTGTAGTTAATTAAAACTTCCAGTAACCACTTTTGTGTCTGCATTTGGGTCCTGTCAAACCTCCACCCCTCTGTGACAGGGATTGTGTCTTTACAATATGCTGGCAAAGACTGATTTGTTTTTTGCAATCTGCAAAACATTTAAATCTAAATAAGTAATTTTTTTTTCTTAAAATAAGTGCAGTTTTTTCTTGAATTAAATGGGTACACTGCAAAAATGATCTAGAAATAAGTAAAAATTTCTCAAATTAAGTGTATTTATCCTTAATTTGAGTGTCTCTTTAATCTCCTCAATCCAAGAACAAATGCACTTATTTTAAGAAAAAATGACTTATCTAGATTTGGATTTTTTCCAGTGTAAGTGAGACATTTTGCCAATGGAACAAGACAGTTTAGACTTTAGACAGATTTTATTTGTCATTTTGTTTCCATAAGTGTAAAACAAAAAGAAATTTCGTTTGGAAACCGCTCACTGGATAATTTAATCAAGTGCAGCCTTGAAAAATAGTAAAAACGACTGTAAATTTACAGTTCTAACATAAAAAAATATAAAAAAATATATGTATATATATAATGATAAAATACAATACAATAACCCATTCCACAAAACATTTAGCAGTCTAATGGCAGTGGAAGAAACTGTTGTGGAATCTGCTGGACCTGCATTCAAAGCCTCTTCCCCGAGGGTAGTTACACTTAAAATAAGAAAAAAAACAATTGCAGTCTTATTTTGAGTGCATATTATCTTATTAGCTGATTTTAAGAGTAAAAATACTCGTTCCATTGGCAGATCATCTTATTTACCTGCTCAATTAAGGGTAATACACCTAATTTAAGAATAAGGTATATTTATTTTTTTTTTCTTATTTCTAGATCATTTTTGCAGTGTATAGGCCTAAAAAAAGCATTTGGAAAAATCCATGTTATTGGCAAATAGATTTCAAAGATAAATATTTTTGGCATTTCTGGTATGTATTTGCCGGGGTACATTTTGAAAAATAAATCTCAAATGTCTTTTTCATTTTAATAAAGTAAAAGGATGAGCAGTGTTGAAGAAGAAAATGAAAATGCAAACAGGATTATTGATTACTAATTTAATTTATCAGTCAAACAATGCAGCCACATTCTTAAAATGAAAAAGCATTTCTGGAAAAGGTTTTTCATTTGAAATATTGTAACGATTTGCTTCCATAGTTTTAAAGCTCATCGTTTTATATTGTATATTTAAGCTCAACACCTCGTCACGATTAATTTCCCACCAAATCAGAAGCTGGAATAAAGATTTGAAATAAGAGAGAGAGAGAGAAGAGAGGGATAGAGATAGGGAGAGAGAAGAGAGGGAGAGAGGGGGAGAGAGAGATAGGACTACCAGCCTGCTGAGGACAAACTTGCAAGAAGCGGAGCATGCAGAAAAAGCTCCGCTGAACATCAGTGCAGCTGCGCGGCTCCTGGTGAGGCTACACGCGGCGATAGGAGCGGAGCTTGTTGCGGATAACACCATGATTGCCACAACTCAACAAAACATGACCACCGAGCTGGTAGGTTTGCTTTTTGCTCTGTTTTATTCATACTTTATGTTTCCCTGCCTTGTATTCAATGCAGAGGTGTGTGTGAGTATGTGCGTCTTTCTGCTCCAGTGGAGACACGCAGCGGGGAAATTGGTGATTTCGCTCCTTGACACTTTCCCCGCTACTGTCCATCTTCCGGACAGGCTTGCCTGTGTGCACTGTGCTGGTGATTGGTGTGAATCTGACATCCAGTCCATTTTGTCCCATGCTGCCTCTCAGAGCCCCTGCATCGTTAAGAAAGCTCAATTTTCCAAGATGATGATTAGTCCCAGCAGCCAGTCCCCTCCAGCATGAACGCACTCATTGACAAAGGGGGGGCTGCCTGCACAGTATGATTGATTAGCCCTCTGCTGCAAAGGTGTATGGTCAATGCATGAGCATTTGGAGGCAGGACCTTTTTAAATAGCACTTAATTGGAACAGTTTCAACTAAATGAAAATAAATAAATTGCCTGTATGACCCATAGTCTATTTGTAACAGCAATGATTTAAAGATTTTGCAGGTTTGCATCTGTAAAGCTGTGCTTGAATGAGAGAATGAATAATATTATAAATATACACTGATAAAGAAAGCAGTTGTAACTAAAGAAATAGCATTGCTGTACCAGTTCCCACACAGTTTATATTCAATAAACCTGAGTAGATGTGTTCAATTCCAACTATTTTGTTAAAATGAAAATTTGCATTCAATTTGTTCAAATATGTAAACGTTTATTACAATATTTAAGCACACATAGTGAAACATGCTTATTAAAAGACATGATGTGCGTGTAAGGTGTGCTGAAAAAAAATAATGCACTAATTTTTGGCATTTAATTGATCGTATTTAGTTACTTTAACACAATTGTTTCATGTTGGCTGGGTAGGACATGAACAATTTTGTTAAAGTAATTAAATATCAATTAGCAAATGCCAAAAGCGGTTGCATTATTTTTTTTTCAGTGTGTTCTGATGGTTTTATTTGTTTTAATCATGATGACTTTCAGCTTATAGTAGCACAACCTTTAAGTTTTAAATCTTACAAAAATAAAACTCATACATTTCACCAGGATGCGCTTATAGACTTTCTTAAAATAAATTAAAAAGCAATCGTTTGTTGGTAAAGCTGACTCAAATTGACTCCATATTCTTTGCTTGGCTCCTTGAAGTCAGTCTTTTGTGAAAAACCTTGATTCGATAATTAGTTCTTTTGAATATAATCCAAGTACACATTCTTATGAAAAACCAAAAGCCTAAATCTCTCTTTCAGAAAATTGAGAAAAGTTCATAATTACGTTTTTATTTATACTATATTGGTCTGTGATGCTATTTCTTGAAGTCCAACACTCAGGTTTACTAACCCAACGCAAAAAAACTGTGTTGTGATGCAGTTAGATCCTGCTCAGACATTTGAGAATTTCAAACTCTATCTGATTTCATATTTATTAGAGGTTCACACCAAGTAACTGGATCGTTTTAGGTTGCTCATGTATTTATGTTTAGCTTTCACTTTTTTAGTTATTTCTTTGCTTAGTGACATGTGATTTTTGGTTTGCTTCATATATCTGTACGTTCTGTTTCTCTGCTGTGCTTGGTTGGTTATAAGCACTAAAACAATTTTGGACCAAACATGCTTCCATTTTTTAAATTTGCTGTAGTTATAGCAAAGTCGTTGATAAATACAAATAGATATGTCTAGATTTTTATGATAACTGTTATGGTGGTTTTCACTGTTATTTTGAAAATACTTTTGAAATTAGAAATAAATGAGACTTGTGCTGCCTTTATGTGGTCTGGTAAAAAATCATTATCACTTGTAAAGTGGAAATTAGCAGCGCATTGTGTTCAAGTGCTTTTATTGGGGTAGCGAATAGAAACATCTCTGATGCAAAGATTATCCTGACTTGCAACTTTGGCAAGACAGGCATTTAAAAATTAAAACAAGTTGAAATGGTGTTATATATATTTTTAATTAATGTTGCACTGTATTGGCTACAAACACAACAGGAGTGAACGCTTAACAATGCAGTATTCATCATTCGCTACTCTCTCCTCTGTATTAAAAGGTCACAGTTTACCTTATCTTGGCAACTCTGCTTTCATAAAATTTTCTCTGCTTTCCAGTAGAAATTACACCAAAAGTGGGTTTTGATGTGCAAATTTCATGTTGGCTTTCGGTATTTACTATAATTACGATACCACATGAAGGCACCGATAGTAACAGCTGCAATAGTGGTTCAACTAAAAATCTTCTTGTAACTCCTTCTATTATGGGAGATTCACAATTTGAAATACTTTTTAACAAAAGTAGACCCCAAAATTCAACCAGGCAAAACAAAAATGCATTTAAACAGTTTATTAAAATTAATACTGCAGCAGGTCAGTAATACAACTCCAGCAGCAGGCACTGGAGCCACTTTGGGCACAGGGATCATGTTAGTGGCAGTTAAGCAACCCTGCTAACCTCTACCAAATCTGGGCAGTGATTTGGATCCTGAATTTTGGTTCCTTAATGATGGAGGTGTTAATGGAGGTTTGCGGATGAGAAATGCTCCACAGGTTAGTCTAAAATTTTAAAGGAGAAATCCAGGTTCTAACAAGGGACTGGGAAGGATCAATGGTCCAGAGGCAGAACCAGAGAGGCAGTATCAAAACGTAATAATCAGATCGGAAATCCACAAACTGTAACCAGGAAGTCAGGCCAGAGTCAGAGCAGAGATCAGTCCAATACAGGGAAACAGCAGGATACAGAAACCAGGGAACAAAAAGAATCACTGACCAGAAGCTGATGAGGGATCCGTCAGCAGCAGGGCATAGCAGTGGTGTTCAGAATGCAGTTGTGATCAGGCAGGCAGAGGGAATGCTAGACTTTTAACTCTACAAGGGCTTTCAAATAATCTGGCAGAGTCTGTCTGCTAGAGAGCTGAATTTAAAGGCAGCAGGACAGATGCATGAAATGAGATGAATGCAATTGCTGCCAGCAGTGGTGGAGATGATGAACTTGATTACAGCAGGGCAGGGAGACAGAATCATGAGACCATTAGCAGCCCTTTCAGTTTGGAACAAGTTTGACTTTTGCAACAGTTTTTTAGACTTTGCTCAGCTGTTAAAAACACTTATGTAGGACATTAACTAAAAATGCACAGATACTGTTCACATCGCAGATGTGACATATTTATACAGGCTGTCAGTTGTCAAGTTCAAGAGACTTTATTGTCATTCACATCACGTGTCTTGGTACCCTGTGTACATGTGGATAAACCTTTAAGTCTACTCTAGTTTTAAAGATAACTCCCAATAATGACTCTTCTCTACAAACATTATGTGTGTGTGTGTGCTGTTGTCACAGGGTGTGTCCCTGCCAATCCTAAAGAGAGACTGCTGGAACCTTTATGCTGGGCTTATTACTCATTCTTTTCCCAATGAAGTTAGCAAGGAGCCCAGTGTTGTAACCTGGGCAATATTCTCTGTCTAGTTAATGCTGAATTGCTATTAAATCCTAAGTCCTATACTGTTGTAAATTACTAAATTGAACAGCTATTTAAATAGAGGTTAAAACCAGTCAGCGCTTCTAGGCAAAGAACTGGGAATGAAAGCTCCAGTAAGTCAGAACAGTTTGTACTGTATATTTATTTATGCACTTAAGATTAACCAATCTTAAGTAAATAGTAAATATATATATATATATATATATATATATAGATATGAATATTCTATGCTAAACAAAATTATTAACATAGAATCTTTCTGTATCAAAAATACATTTTCTTATACTAGAAGTCAAACATTGAAAATAAAATAATCAAATGAAATTGCTTAATTTAAGTTAATTAGATATTTGAAGTTTATAGAGTATTTTATTTATATATTCTCTCCTACAAAATTTCCATTTATATCATATAAAGAGTACACACATGTGTTTTGATTCGTTCCTGTGTCAGGATTACTGGATACTTGTTGAGGAACTGAATACAGAGATGAAGATTCAGAGGTGATTTCTTGTCAAATTTAACAAAGAAGTAAAAATAAAGAAGCCATAATCGATCAACAAAAAGTTTGGGAACATGGGAGGGGGGTAAACCTACGAGATGAAGAAATCCTGCAAACATTAACTGCAGAGGAGGAGTAGCCTACATATGCTAAACAGAACAGTGAATGGAGTAATCAACTGATTGGGAGCAGGTGTGGACAGAAGTATCTAGAAGGGGGCTTGGGGAAAGAACACAGAATGCAAATGTAACTTAAAATTCAAAAAGAAAAGTTAAACAGAATCAAAAAGTCCAGAAAGGACAGAATCATTACATAAAATATACTCTCATGCACTGGTTTTCTCTATGCAACACTTTCTTTAATTTTGTATTTCACAATTATTCATTGCAATAAAATTTACATGTCGAATAATCATAAAATTACAATCTGACAACATTTTTCATGGAGCTTCAGCCTCTCCATATTTACTCTGATGGATTTTTGTGTATTTTAGAGAATAGACTCTTCAAAATGTAAACCTAGTTGGTAAAATACTGAGGAAGCTAACCCTTGACATTAAATGGCACTCAGGTCTTTAGGGCTTTGGCTTGTGTGATGAAACCCAATTGAAATGTGCCAGAAACCGTCTGTTTCATAATCCTGAAGCAATTCCTCTCCGTCGGGAAGGGCCACAGTATGCTGGAGGTTTTGCAGATGACCTTTTTACCTGCAAATTTCAGCTTATGTCAACAGTTCAATGTACTGTAGCCTATAAATCTGTTAGAACAGATTGTATTTGCTCATTTTCTAGAAGGAAGCCTTATGGTTGCATTTGGTTGTAAAGTGCAAGTACCCGTTTGAAAACCATCAGTCTTCTGAGCCTTGCTTCAAATAAATGATCAAGAGATTCACCAAGGAATGAGCTTTCAAACTGTTTTCCTGTCATAGTTTCTGGTCAAATACTGAAAAAATATATATTTTAGAGAATTAGAGCATTAACTTGAACTTTGTTGTGCTTTAGTT